GTTCAAGAAATAACGTGCTCTCCCTTCACTATACGACAGGCGAAATAGGCTATGAATCTTAAAATAACTTGCGAATCTTTAATCTTTCTTGATATAGAAACCGAGAAAAAAGGCAATGATATTTGTTAATTAATCCGAATAAAATAAAAATTTGTCAATTTATAAAAAATTATTGGAATCTACAAATTAAAAAATAATTTAGAAAATCACTAATTTATAATTTCCAAATTAAAAATTACTACAAATTAAAAATTAATATTTTCGTAGAAAGATATAAAGATTATGTTGCTTGATATATTTCTATTTTATCAAAAATTATGTAATGACTTTATTTTATTTTGAACATATAAAAGAATGAAATTTATTATATTTTAATCAATCGCAAAATTTATATATACTTAGCTCTTTATTTAATTGTAAGAAACTTCGAAAGATTTAATATTGGGTTGTCTGTAAAGTTCGTGCCGATTTTGAAGGAAAATTGAAACGCAGAAGATTTAAATTTTAGTATACATTTATTAAATTTAAATCTTTTGCGGTACGAACTTTCCGGACAACCCAATATATAACTCAGTGCTTAAATTGATAATTCACAGTTTATATAGTAATTCACATTTTTTATTATCAATAATTTATTGTTGTTATCCATTTCACTCGGAATTTTGTATTCATTAAATACTTGCTGTAAATATTAGGTGTAGTAAAAAGAAATCCATTATTTTTGCATGAAATCGAATGAAAAAATAATGGATTTCTTTTTACTACACCTAATATATCTGTGTAGCAAGTGCTTATAAATTTACAAATTAATTTAACAAGACAATTGTCAGTTATATCATGTCTTTTTGTTTATGATAATATATTATACAATATAATGTCACAATCAAATCCATAAAAATGAACGAATCATACACGTGTGCATACCTGTCTGAAAAATGATACTCTCGCACAGGTAGCTTTCCATTCGTATCAGCGCTTGCGTGAGAATGCAGGGGATGCAAAAATGCCAAAGCACTGTTTCCCACCCCAGATTCGGCAGCCACCCTTTGGGTCGCGCGCTAAGTGTTGCATAAATAACTACCCGTGCCGCATCGAGAAACTGGACTGTATTTCCGGCCATCTGCCTTATCGGAAATAATAAGTAATCACGACATTACAATAATCATGAATCGTGACAAGCATAGAAATCGAGTTACAGAAAAAAAGAGAAAGAATATGGGGAGAGGGAGTAGTTTAAAAAAGTCGTTAAATTTAAAGTCAAGAAAATTGTATCTTAGAAAGAAATTTTTACAAGTCCCTTTAAACTCAAACTATTTTCGTTTCCAAGATATATTTTCGTCTCTTTAAATTAAAAATAATAAAGATGTTCAGAGCTGTCGTAATAAGGAAAATATGTTTGTGTGTGCGGTACTTTTCAAATACTATACAGATCTTTAAAAATCTTTTTAAATGAAGAGAAAGAAGAAATTCATATTAGATCAACGAGAATAAATCAAGAAAAATATTTTCGGTCAAAACGGATCTTAGTATTTTAAACAATAAATATTTCAAAATATTAATTTTTATATAGGAGAGACCATGAATCACAAAAATTCAAACTCTTACAAGTGCATCTAAATATAAATATAAAAATGTTTGTATCTATATATTTTTTTTAATAATTAAAGCATAATGCATATTTTAAAATTTAATAAATATATTTAGTAAATATTTATTTGTTTTAAAAAAAAAAATAAACATTTTTTAAGATATAACCTCCATACCCGCAGTACTATAAGTCACATACAAAATAATAGGATTATGCAAGAAATAACGGTGACGAAAGTTGAAAAGTATTTTTTCAATTATAGCATTACGCATTCTTAACATAGTCATTAATACAATAAAATAATGATTACAATTAATAATTATTAAATAATAAAATAGAAAGTTATAAGAAAACAAATAAGAAATAACCACTAATATAAAATAAAAAATTTATTTACGATAAAATAAAATTAATTGCTTAGAAATATATAACTGCCCTTTTAGTATATATATTTTCCATATTGTCTCGTTCTATCATGAATATTTATGTATTATAATGTATTGGGTTGTCCGGAAAGTTCGTGCCGATTTTGAAGGAAAATTGAAAGATTTAAATTTTAGTATATTTTTTAATTATATTTAGTATATACTTATTAAATTTAAATCTTTTTCGGCACGAACTTTCCGGACAATCCAATATGACCCGTAGTATCCCAATTATACATTTAATTATATATTTAATAGAAAATTATAAAAAATAAATGTTAGATTACTTGTAACATAGTAAATTGAGAAAAGATGCGCAAAAAGTTGCACCTTATCTTCATATATGTATCTTCTACTACAAAAAAAATATTAAAACATTTTTTTGCGGTTAAAAAGTTACCATTGCACCACGAAAACTATTAATGCTCAATGTTTTTCAATACAATGGAATTTAATCATTGCCACCTAGATAAAAAGTATGGGCAACGAAGTAATAGTCGTACCAGTAGTATTAACTTAAACATTCTAGATTATGTTAAACAGTCAATGACCCATAGTATTCCGGTTTCCCCTACATATATAATTCTGCAAACAACGTGCTGAAATTTTTTTCAATCTTAAAATATAATCATAAATGGAATTAGATAGTAATATCATATATTAAATTAATAAACTACTTAGTAAGAAAGAAGAAATATGAACATAAAATAAACATCATATTTAAACTGGAAGAAGAAATTAAGAAAAAGAGGACTTTATTTTCTAAAATGTGCAAAATTTTAAATTTTTACATCTTTCGCCATTACAAATTAAATGTTTTTTTTTAAAGGCAGGTTATCTCTTAAAATAATTATAAATTAATATCGTAAATAGAAATTACAGGATAAATTACTTTTCATTTCAAATAGCATATTTTTTTATGTTGTTTATTTTAAAATCTTTTATTTAAAGATCTTATCTCTGATCGATTGCTTTCAAATACACAAAACTGGAATGCATTATATCAACACGTAAAACTTTCGTGATAGACAAAATTCTGTCGCAAAGTAACTCTGATATAGGGTAAAAATAAATTGATCACCGTTTTTATATTATCATAGCAAGCGTGCTGAAAATAGCGGGAGTACATTAACCAATTATCTATCCCGGTAATCTCCCCCAATGACTAGTTGGTACCCGCATAGTTAACGTTGCACGTCGACGAGAATTCATTTAACTTTCCGAATGATTCACGTCGATCTTGCTTGAATCGTTGACGAATCAATTTCCATCAGGGATATCGCATGCTGCGGGTGGCGCGTGTCTATGTTCTTAAAAATCAACATTCTGATCGAGGGTGGTCGCTCTTTAAATCAACAGCTTGGTTATATTTTCCCAGAGTAAGATTTGTATTTTTGTAGCTTTGTGTCATTTTATTTTTATCATTCATCATTAAACATAAAACGAGACTAAGAATAATACAAATAACGCTGCTAATACTCCAAATGCATAATGTAATATATATTATATTATATATTGTAATATATATTCTATAATTTATATTCTATCACTGAAAAAAATGTTATAACAAAAGCATTATTTTAATTGAAAATAATCTTGTTGATTAATAACAGTCGATTTATGAAACAAATGAAATTTTATTAAAAGAGCATGACATATTTATTTCATTAATAGTGTTACTAAATTAACAAGATTATTTTTAATAAAAATAATACTATTAACATAACATCATTTTTTTCAGATACAAATTACAATATACTACATTAAATTTAATGTTCATCGCTTAATAAATTATATTATATAAATAATATATAAATATTATTTTATGGATACCAATGGAAAATTTGTGTCAAATTTAACGTATTTAAATATCTTAAACGATATTTAAATATATGTTTAATTTAATATAAGAGGAATATTAGAAGATAATATTATTTAAGAACAAATATTATTTAAGAAGATAAAAACAAAAAAATAATACCAACACAGTTTGTAAATAAACAATAATTTTTGCAGGAAAGAGGTTGAAGTTAACAAATAAGCGCAAAAATTATTTATCGGACGCAATTTTGTTAAAGGAAAAAGTTGTTTGTTTTAAACATAAAATATCACGCGGGCACAAATTTTGAAACATCTTTAATATGTATGTATAACGATGTATGTATAATCATTTGCAATGAATCGTACGTAAGAAAATAAATTGTATGTAAACATATAATATATTGCATGTAATTCAATTATACATACATATTATAGCTGCATTCGAGAAGATGCTATTAGTGCTATTTATTTATTTCATCTTTATCGTTCATTAAAATAAGGATACAATTAATGACATAAATAACGTTAATAGCGTTTCTCCGAATGCATCTATATATTTTTTTGTATATAATTATACATCTATATCTATTTGTGTATGTTAGAGAAAAATTAGCTTCGGCCAGCTTTTGAACGTGAATGCGCTAATTGAATGTGATTGCGATTGGATTCTATAAAACCAATCATGTTCGGTGAATAGACTAGCTGCTTTGCCAACTTGAACACAGCCATTGAAACTCTAAAGAATATAAAAGTATAATTTAATGAAAGATTGTGGAATGAAAACAAGAATTAATTTAACGGGGAAAAAAATAAGCTAGACATATAATAAATGAGAAAAAAGGATATATTATTAATTAAAAATTGATTAAATAAATTAAATAGAATTAAGAATAAATATATGATAAAAAGTTTAAATTAATATCTTATAATAATTAGCTTATATAGATATAAGCTTGTATAGATATAAGTTAGCTTATACAGATATAAGCAAATTATCCAGCAACATTTTTTATTTTCTTATTAGCTATTTACTGACACATCAGTCCGATCAGAAAATTTTAACAACATTTGTAGGTAAGTTTAATAAAATTATCTCACAAGCTGTCATCTCAAAAAGATTTTTTTCTTTTTGTGTACATCGTACAAGTCATACCAGTCATGCATACATGCACATACCGTTAATGAAAAATTCAAGAAGGGGAGAGAAAAGAGATGAGAAAGTTTCTACGAGAAACGGTCAAGATAAGATTCACATAACTGGATCCACAGCTATTATTAAAGGGTTAAAGAAATCGTTGAGATATATATAAAAAAGAAAATCGATTTAGCTGCCGTAACATACGAACGTTAAACCGGTAACTTTTGCGTCCTGCAAAGGACGGGATATGCATAACGGTTAAAGAATAATAATCGCACCGAAGATGCATTATTTTAAATAGAAAAAAAAAGGGTATTTCCATTTATGCCTTTAATATCGACAATTATTTAAGATCTGCAAATTTAGCTAATAGAAAAAGATAAAAAGAGAATGTTTGACTTATAATTTAACTCAGAAATTTAGAATTATTTAATTAATGCTGTGTCCGAATAGATACAAATTTAGTATTATAAATGCGTTATTTAATTAAAAAAAAAAATGATCTCTTTTGTACCGCTCAGAATATATCCTTTAATTCTATATAAATATATTCAATATAAATATATACAATGAGATTTAAAGGCCAGAGATTGATGTCGTTCCGCTTGAAGATTCTATTTACGCTCTTCCTGATTCTTAATTCTAACAAGACAAGCGAATTAAATAAATCTCACTTCTAGACAATTCTTAGACACCTGGAGATATTTTTCACGCATCGAATTTACCATCGCGAAGAGATCTCATTTGGCAGAAATTTCCGAGAGTTCTCGATTTATCTTTCTGCCGGCACCTGGACAAGGGCCGTTCGATCCCTTCGAGATTTTCAGGAGGCAACTAGGACACCCCTCGGTGGAGAATATCAGGGAGAGGAAACTAACACGTTGCGCACGTTACGTGCAGAAACAGGTAAGGAGCGAACGTGTTCTTCTCGTCTCGTCTCGTGATCTCTTTTCCCCATCATCGAGGGGAAAAGATGACAGAGAAAGGGAGTGGAAGGATCTGAAAAGGAACGTTGCGTAAAGCCGTTTTCCCAGGAGCCTCCCCTAAAGGGCCTCCATCAACCACCATGTGCAACGAAGGAAGGGCCTAGTGAGTATATAAGGGCCCGCCTGGGCTGCAATGACCTCAGAGCATCACGGTCAACAGTGCAGAGAAGAAGTCTCGGCTTCTTCGACCGATCGACCATCCCGGTCACGGTCGAGGAGGATCCGGAGGGATTGAAGAAAAGAAGAGAGAAGAGGAAGTAAACTGCAGTCATCTAACGGCGATCGCCATCATTTTTCTGTCGCAGATCCGATCGGAGCGTCTACCACCCACGATGGTGAGTATAGTTTCGGGTTTTTGTCCTGGCTAACACGTGATCTTGGTGCTTCGATAGACTACACTAAAAGTCATCTAAAATCTGGTTTTCGGCCTTCGCGGATCTTCGACGTTCTGCCTCGTGAAACCGAAAATTTGCACTTCTTCCCAAATAACAAATCGACTGTCACACGCGAAAAATTGGACGAATCATACTTTGCATCTAAAAAAAATATGTTCTATTAACATTCTGCTCTGAAAGAAATATGTTTGCAGGCAATTATTATAGAAAATGTTGTTATAGAAATTTGTAATTACCGCTACGTGTCTTTTAGGCAGGCGAACATATCGATGTCTTCAAAATGGAATTTTGAAAGTTCAAATTTTTCGATTCGCTTTATTTTTCGCGAATGAGATAGTCGATTAGTATGATTTATTATGAAATAAGAACACCGGAAGCGATTGGATTCGCTGACTGATTCGTTTCAGAAATTTATATGAGAGATTCAAAGTAAATTGAGTTCGAATTGAAAAGCATAATACATGTTTATTCAACCGCGCGATTAATTATCGCATGTTTGCTAGATTCACGCGTGCGGTAACAAACAGAGACGTTATTTTTTTTTTCATGGTGTTCTGATTTTATCAGATAGTACTCTATACCGGTGAAAATTTTCGGGCAGGTAGAAAATGATCAAATTGCTGAAAACGAGAACAATAAATTGCCACAACGTACCAAGAGAGACTTAAAAGTAAAGTTAATCGGAGGTATCTTGAGATAATTCGCGAGACAGAATAGCGTGAATCTACGATCGAAATTCCGAGTTACGCGCGTATTAATCATTCGGACCTACTCTATCCAGGCACTAATATCCCACCCCAAAATGTGACTTGAAATTTGCTCGTCTTATCTCCTCTTTCGCCATTGTGTTCGAAAGTTTCGCTGCTTTTGTATCATCTCTTTTATGTCTGATAAAATTGCTCTCTGTGTGTAATAGTAATCCTTCGAAATTTGTACTCGTCTAAAAATAGATCGCTCTCCTCAAACTGCTTCTCGTGTTAACGGCGTTATCACTACTCACACGCGTCCGTTGAGACCTTACCGATTACGTTATATTGTCAATACAGCATAATGATTCTTTACGAAGAAAACGTTTCGTGAAATCTTCATATGAATAATTAAATTGACAACTGCAGATTGAATCCAAATTTGCCGGTATCGTTCGAGTACAATTTGCAACTCGCCGTGATACTAAAATCATTTGGATAATCTTCGTTTCGAGATTGCGAGTAGTGATATCACGGTCACGCTCTCAATTTCTCACTCTGTCACTTGTAGATTTTTAGAACGTTTTCAGTTGCTGATCGTGTGCGTTTATGAATGTCCAAAGAACGCTCGTATTTTCACAGATGATCATAGATTAACAATTAGATGTACAGATCCATCAGTAATTAATTTTGTGTAAACTAAAATGCATGCAATTAAATTAACACATCGTGTGTGCACATTAAAACTCTTAGTTTCAAACTGCTGTTTCTGTACCGACTCAATCTCTGATCTACTCTTTCATTTCACGCTGCTTATTAAACCCGCAATAAATCTGCATGCGTAGACACCTTTACATCCTGTCAACCATATGTCATGTCCCCTCAAAAACTGTCGATATACCGCAAATTAACAAGGAGCATGAAAGCTTTTACACGAAGGATGTATTTTATCGAAATTTTTGTGATATAACTTCGTAACATAATAGCGGGCTTAAATTTCGATCAAAAATGTGCAGATCCAAGCAGGTGAAAATTTTCTTTAGTTCCGAACGCGACATAATCGAGAGAGAAAATGACAATGACATTGAATATTCCGAAGCAATCCATGTAAAAACTTTTTTCTCATTTTGTCAACTCATCGTCTCGTTGAAATTGCCGTTTAATCTCAAGCTGAGAATATTTAAGTTTAAATTTGAAAGAAATTTTCATTTGTTATGAAAATATTACACTTACAACAGCTTTATGATTAATATAAATTTTAATTGCTAAGACTTGAAGTTGTTTAAATTTGTTGCTATTAACAAATTTCTAATGAATCAATGTAGTGGGTACTTTAGAAAACAGAATTATAGACGAGAATGTATACATAATTAGAAATAGAAAAATAGAAAAATAGAATAATAGAAAAATAGAAAAAGTAATAAATTACGTGAACAATTTGAACAATAATATATTAATCTGATAAAATCGATGCCTTTGAAATAAAAAAATTATCTAACAATCATGAAATTTGTTTTAACAGAATTTTGTCATTTTAATATTCTATAAGGAATTAGTTATTCGATCATTTTGCAAATTTTTTTACAAAAATTCCATTTTTGGTTAACAATAACTCAACAAAAGTTTATTTCAAAATTTCGATAACAATATAATATAAACATGTCATTGTTTACATGAATATATATGATTTTCTCTGCTGTTATCGACGGCATGCTCATTTTGCATAATCGATCTCTGATAATTGATAATTCAGATAATTGATATTGTGTATGGCAAAACAAATTTAATTAACATTGCATAGTTCCAATTTCAAAATAAGACGTTTTTCAAAATATAAGTTTCATGAAATAAAACACGATTCCGAAAGATGTTTGAAAAAATCCGATAAAAAAAGACCTTTTCACGGAACAAATCATATTATCTAGATAAATAAATGATAAAATAGTAGATCCCTCCCCCTCCCCTTCCTAAATAAAAGCCAGAAATCATATTAGAATCTTTAATTTATCGCTGCAGTTTGAAAGAATAATTAACAAAGGTTAGTTAAATTTCAAGCATTACATATTTTGACATAATATGCATGTATTATAAACTTTTTTGAAATAGAAATTGCTATTCTTGATATTATACGAAACTTTGATAAATGGAACACGATTTTGATTAATAATTTCCTGAAAATATTTGCAAATGAAATATATTGAAATACAGAATTAAATAGAAACAAGATAAAAAACCGGACAAAGTATTTATAATAAAGCTTTTGATAATAGTAAATAAAACAAAAAATTTTTGATTATTATCTAAAAAAAAGAAATAACATATTGAACTGATTATTTATTTGTACGGCAGAAAAAAAACAAGTATATCTGAATCTTTATTTAATCCATAAAATAATTGCATCTGAGGAATTGTTAAATTGTTAAACATTTTTAAATATCTTAGTATTCAAATTTTCAATATATAATATAAGCAAGAAATAAAATTTTATTTCTGACATGCTACAAAAATTTTATGGTT